GTGTTTTGGAGTTTGCACATGCTTTGTCTCTAGGGGCCACCGTAGGGAGACAGCTTATTTATTAGGATGTTTTACTTTCTGCACAGATGTTTCACTTTAAAAACTTTCCAGCGGCTCACAAAATACTCCCCACCCCCCTTACTGGATGTGAAACATCTGTAGGAAGATCAGCTTAACACTGAAGAGGAGAGATAATTTGGAAGCTACAGAGCAGCGAGTGTGACATGACTGATGACATGTTGTTGTACTGATGAAATTAATGTTGTGGAAATGCACTTTACATTGTATTTAGACTGTAAGTTCCTGCAGTAAATGTAACTCAAGCTAATCCTTAATGTTTATAATCAGTCTTTATGAGGAATAATGTTTTAAAGACAAACCTGACAGTAGCAGTAATACTGGCTTGTATGAGGATTTACATCAATTTTGCCACTTTTATACAATGAACACATTACTGGCGTAGAATTAGTATAAAACCTGGAAATTGGAGACAGATGAGGTCAGATCTGAGAAAACTTTGTAATCTGAGTGTGTCTAAATAACTGATGACTAAATAAACCACTTATGATGAACCCACTGATGCCTTTGGTTCATATATTAGCCAGAAGTCCTGCGTAAACACTGGGAATATACACTTCTTATTAGGTACACCTTGATATTATAGTTTGGACACCCCTTTACCTTCAGAACTGCTTTAATTCTTTGCGGCACAAATGAGCTTTATGACATTTTGCGTTATCCTGCTGGAAGCAGCCATCAGAAGATGGTACATTGTACTTACAAAGGGATGGTCATGATAAACAACAATACTCAGGTGGACTGTGGCGTTTAAATAATGATCAGTTCATACTGAGGGGCTCTAAGTGTGGCAAGAAAATATCCACAACACTATTCCACCGCTACTATCACCACCATCAGTCTGAACCATTGATCAGAGACAGGTCGGATCCATGTTTTCACGTTGTTTACACTAAATTCTGACCGTTTCATCCAGACACCACAACAGAATCCAAACTAATCAGACAAGTCAATGTTTTTCTAACATTCTGTGCAAATTGTAGCCTCAGATTCTTCTTATTATTTGAGAGGAGTGACACCCTGTCTTCTGCTGCTGGCATTAACAAGGTATTTTCACCCAGAGAACTGCCACTCTCTGGATATTTTCTCTTTTTCAAACCATTCTCTGTAGACCCTAGAGATGGTTGTGCAGTTAAATCCCAGCAGATCAGAACTTTCTAAAATACTCAGACCAGCCTGTCTGACAACACAAAAACCATGCCACATTCAAAGTCACTTTATGACCTTTCTTCACCATTCTGATGCTTGGTTTGGATTTCAGCAGGTCATCTTGCTGACACGTAGCTGGCTGATTTAGATATTTGCATTAACATGTAGTTGATTGGGTGTAATAAGTGGTGATGAATGCAAATGGTTTTTTTTTATAAGAGCAAAACGTACGTCTTCCTTCATTAGAATAAAACTTATAAAAGTAAATGAGAGTGAGTAGCGCTGATCTAGTTCACAGCTGTGGGATTAAGTGACAGATGCCCTGTTTTTCTTCAGGCTGACACACACTTACACTGACTGGAAAACACACTAACGTGTACCACATTTAGATCGGTTTATTAGGACAAAGCTGTCTCCTTATTCAGTGGGGGAAAAAAACGCCTTCCACCAGTGATGAGTTAGGAAGCAGTCAGTGTCATTCTATGGTGTATTAACTGCAAATTGATCAATAACAAACGGACACTTTGATAGAAAATGTTAAGCTGAACCAACTCTGCAGTGTTTTGATCAAATTGCCACCATCATCTGTTTTCACCTAATCAGGGGGTGATACAGAAGTCCTACCTGCACTTGCAAGTACAGGAGTAGCATTAGCAGTAAACAGGATGTACCACGCTCTGTGGGCCTGTGGACCCCGTTTCGGCTTTTCTTAGTTTAGTTGACCTTAGAATGAAGACGGGGAAACCGGGAGGCTATAAATTTAATCTGTAGCAACATCTGTAGTGAAAATAATTTTAGATTTTGGAGGAAGAGCATGCTGCAGGTGCTAGAAACTGTAGCCTTGACTTCCTGGAAATTTAACAGAAGAGAGAGGAAGTCATGCTCCTGTTTTTTCACGTAGAGATAGATGTTCTCTTTTCAGTTATATAAATATATTCATTACGGATCTCATGTGGGTTTTGTTTTGTTTTGTTTTTTTCAACTTTAGGGAGATATGTCAGCTGTTTCCTGTGCTGGCTGTCTGACATAAGTGGCATTAATCTTATCACATAAGAGACAAAACAGAAAAGGTGAGAGCAGTTTATAAAACCCAAAACTGAGAAGTCGCCTCAAGCAAGGGAGTTGCAAGGAAGTTCAAGTATCTTGGGATATTATTCTCAGGTGATGGAAAGGTAAGAGGTTCAGACTTCCAGAAGAATCTTAAGTACAGCGGCTGCTCCTGCATGTCAGAAGGTACCAGCTAAGGTTGGTATATGGCATCTCAATAGGATGCCTTCTGGGCACTGGGGTGAAAACCCGGGGTAGTCCTAGAACCTTCTGGAGAGATTATATTTTGCGTCTGGCCGGGGAGCACCCCAGGATCCACAGGAGAAACTGTGGCTGGAGAAAAATATGTCTGGAACATGTCTGGATGGATGGATGGATGGATGGATGTTTTCCATATGTCAGTTCCAGGTTACAGACCAATGTTAAAAGTAGAGGGGATGCTACAGAGTTAAGCATGACCATGAGACATGTTCCTTCCATCAAATTCAAAATGAGCTAATGTGTTTCTTATCCAGTCTTGGATCAGTTTAAACATTAGATTGGATTTGTGTTTATGAGATTTGTAAATCATGTTATTATTATGTTGTTATTATTTTTTACACTTTACACAGATTCACAACTTTTGAGGAATTGGGGTCAGCAGTTAGGAACTGCTGACTTTGGAGGAACTGCAGATTTTAGCACTTCCTCCTTGGTTACACTGTTTTAAATGCTTCCCCTCTGACAAAGACCCAATGCACTGATTTACAAAATTACTGAACCCAAAGAGGAAGTCATAAAAACTGCAGTTATTCATTACTCAGAAAAAAATGAAATGAAACATGTAAAGCTCAAGTGTGTGGACACAAAAATGAGTGAGAAGGTTAAGGTGCAAAGATGTTTAAGTGTATTAATTCAACTTTAAATTCGTGGACATTGTTTACATTTACAATGTAAGCTATTTACGGGAATGTGGTGTCCACATATGTCTGGACATTCTTCAGTGTAAATTATGGAAATGAGCTTGAGTAAAAATGAAAAAGCAGGCAGGCCTCACCCAGCAGAGAGGCCTTCGCCTGAGTGTGACCAGCGCCTAAAAACGGTTTCCTACTGATGGAAAAATAAAAAGCAAACACTCAGCTGCTGCGATCCAAACAACCTGCAGGTCCACAGCCTGGCCTGGACTCACCGAAACCCCGCATGGAACATGTACATCCTGGGTCCGCCGTTGGGTCCATATCTCGGGGTGCTGAACAGGAAGTCCTTCTTGATGGAGACATAGCTGATGAGAGACAGGATGAGCAGCGCCACGCTGAATATGACGAGCCCCAGCGCGCTCACAAACCGTACCATCCTGCCCCGATGGAGGAGGCTGGCCCTCCGGCCCAGAGGATCAGGAACCGGCCAGGACGAGGAGAAAGCGAGCACCCAGGCGCACCGCATCAGCGGCACGGCGACGGCGGGGACGCGGAGAGGACGAGGCGCGCTTGACGCAGGTCTCAGAGCCCACGCGGGGAGGAAGCGCAGAGGCAGGGAGTCGAGGTTTCATCTGCTGCGTGCGAGCGGAAAAGTACCGGCTGCGAAACAGGAGTGCAGAAACACAGGAAGGCCGCCAGCACAGCAGAGAGGACGCTCACACGCGGACCTAAAAACGCCTTCCATAGATGCCGTGCAGGCTGTAGGGACGTGCGTTTGCTGCCAGTTTCATCAGCTGAGCGTGATGCAGAGAGAAAGCGGAAGAAAAACCCGCGTGACGCACTGATCGTGGATGTATCCCAGGATGGAGAGGAGGAGGGAGGAGGAGGAAGAGGAGGGGGTCTTCCTGCTGGCGTGCAGGGTCAGATTACAGTTTCATAACCTCGAGGCAGGAGATGAAGCGGCGGCTCGCGGCATCCTGCAGGGAGGAGGTGGGCGCTGCATCCTCGGCGTCTCTCTCTCCTCCTCTCCTTCTCTCTCTTTCTCTCTCACTGGCAGTGTAATTAATTAAGGCCAGGGTGTCGCTTTAAGGAAGCGCAGCTCGTGTATCTGGTAATCAGATAAACAGTTCCAGCAGCATCCGAGGCGGAGCTCCGTGTCCTGATGGAGGCAGAGATGCGGACAGAGAGCGAGCAGGAGAGAGGAGGCAGCTGAGGCGTCATGTGTCTGTCTATAGACGCAGATCTGCAGACACGTGACAACATTTCACTGTTTTCAGCTCGTGACAAAGCGGCCGTCAGTTTAGACTGAGTGTTAGTCTGCTACTGCGTAGACTTTCAGTATTTGTTAAATAACAGAATACATGACTCATGAGTTTCTGCGAGGGTGTCGCTTCTCTCCTCTGCTGCAGTGCAAAGGGTCACTTGAACTCGCTGTCCACTCAATGTGTCCTAAGTTTGGGAGTTTCTAAATGCATCACTGGGAGTTTTAATTTCCTTTTCTGACACACGGTCATATGCAGGACCGCATGATGCGTGGCTACTTTAGAAACCTTATGACATGAATCCCAAAAGGCTAATTCTGTTCACCTGGACGTTTTCAGTGGGAGAAACGTTTCGTCATAATCCAAGTGACTTCTTCAGTCTCAGCTGACTGCAGGTTTCCCCAATCTTATAAACAGTACATTTCCACAATATCTGAAACCAGCCCACTGAAGGAACAATGGGCTGTGAGGTCAGTTCCTTGATCATAAATATGCAAGTTGTCATGACCATTGATCGAAGACCACTGATCAATGGCCATGAGTACCATTCACAGAGAGTTCGGGAATGGCTGCAATCACAGCATTGTAAGATGGTGAAAGATGTACCCTTAGGCCCCCTCCTCGATTCAGAGATGGTCTTTCCCTTTTCACATAAATGGCCTACTTGACTCTGAGTTCCTCCCTGTTTGTGTCGGGACCCGATCCTTGGGGTGGACCAATTTTTGGCGCAGTGTGTTTTGGGGTTTAAAAGCCACAGAGACGCATAAAAACACACAGCTGCAGTTTTAGAAAAAGTGTGTCTCAGCTGTTCTGATACTCCTGACACATATGTGATCACTACAGGTTTTCGCGTAGGCAGCGGCTGTCCTTTAAGCTAAATAAGGAATTTTTTAAAAACTGAATCATGCAGTTAATAGCAGATCATGCTATCTCTTTATCCACATTTCAGCGCAGCGTTATAGGATTACAGACATGGTGTAAAGACTGGTTTAAGATCACCTCCTCTAGACAGAAGTAAAGAAACAAAGATTAGGGATTCCTCCATGTCAATTATTTTCCACCGAAACAAAGAAAGATTAGACGAGGCTCCACAAAGCCATCACACAGAGAGAAAGACTGGCTGACATGGCTGCTGGCATTTCAGTAGTGACCTTTATACTACTATTGAAGCCTGATAGGACATAAAACAGAGAGGGAGACACAGAGAGATCCAGGCAGTGTTAAAAAGGAGGTCATCCATCTGATTGGGGGGAAAAAAGACCAAGTACAATTCCACTACTTAAATACTTTAATTAATAATTTTATATATTTAATTTCCTATTAAAAATATACAGAATAACTAAATATTAGAAGTATACTATAAATGCTGTATTCATGTTCCACACCTAAACTACCCACTGCCAGTTTTTTGTTTTTTTTATTTTTGCTGACGAAAAATTAAGGATTACAACGTGCCAACAGACACATGACATTAGTAAAGAAGAAATAACATATTTTATACAGACTAATGAAGTGATATTACCTGTAGGGTAAGGCACTTTGAATCAATCAGTGCCCCAAACTGAACTTTAAGCTTCACCAGCATCAAATTGAAAACTTCTTTAAAAAAAAAAAAAAAATTAAGAAGGGATAAACAATCCATAGAAACTAAGATGTTTTTTATAGCAACCAATCAATGTGTTTATTTCTGCTGTACATTTCAACATGGAGGTTTGTGGAGACCGACTCCCTTTTGGAACCAGCGTCAAGTGGCTGTTAGAGGAACTGCTGTATTCACCACTCAAATTTTTCAGCATCAGAGGTTGCCACTTGCTATATTAGTGAGCCCTTAACATCACTTCATTTCACTGCACAGCACTGTATTATGCTTTTCCATTGATATCTTTTTACTTCCCTGCACCTTACTGCAACCCCCCCCCGCCCAAAAAAAAAAAAAATCCTCTAAATATAAATAATATTTTTTAATAGAAATTAAAGGGGGGGTGGGGGGGGGGTTAAAAATACTTTGATCAATGGGCTTTGATCAGTGGTTGTTGATCAATGGTCATGACAATTTGCATATTAATGATCAAGGAACTGACCTCACAGCCCATTATTCAGTCAGTGGGCTAGTTTCCCTTATTGTGCAAATGTACTCTTTATAAGATTGGGGAAACCTGCAGTCAGCTGAGACTGAAGAAGTCACTTGGATTATGACGAAATGTTTCTCCCACTGAAAACGCTACGTCCAGATGAACAGAATTAACCTTTTGGGATTTACTTACCTGGATGATTTGAGCATCCATCAAGACAAATTTAAAAAGAGGTTATGAGTTCAGCTAAGACAATAAGATAACAGAAGAAAAGTGTTGAGGGTGGGAAACGCGAATGTAACAGACAAGAAGTAAAGTGACACTGAAAGAGAGGAGAGGAGAGGAAGAGCAATCCAGCATCAAGATACTGGTGTATCAGCTTCCAGATAAAGCAGGCCATCAGGGTTTTTTCTCTGTCATGGTCCTCCTCTGTCCATTTAAGCCTCAAACAGACACCAGCTGCTACTACTTTATACTCCGTCAGCAGGACATAATGTAAAAGATGTCATGGATGTCACGTTCCTGGGTCTCCTGACCTAGCATTTTAAGTTTTAGTTTATTTGGGTGTTGATGTTTATGTTTAAGTTCTTTAGGTTAGCTAAGTTCATTTGTTTATTAGATTCCCTCTGTGTTTTAGTCCCCGTCCTATGTACAGTGTGTCTAGTTTTGCTTCCCTTTGTCTCATTAGGTCTGATTTTTCCCAGCTGTGTTCCCACCTGTTCCCCATCCCATCATTATCTCCGTGTACTTAAGTCCTCTGTCCTCCTTTGTTCAGTGTCAGGTTGTCTGTTGTGCCACGTTTCCATGCGCTATATTTTAGGTAGCTTTGTATCCATGCCAAATTTCATGTTTTTGGTTTTTAATGTTTATTTTTAGTTTCGCCAGTGTACGTTAGTGTTTATTCTAGACTTTGTTTGCCTCATGTATTACTTTGTTTTTCTCTTTCAGCCAAATTAAACGGCTCGCTTTTTGTTAATTCGAGTTTTGTTCGGCTTGCCTTGGTGTCTGCATTTTGGGTCCTCTTCGTCACTCCATTCAGTCTGCCCCCGCCAGACTGTGACAAAGGAGCACCTCTCTGCTAGTCATATCGTAACATGGAAACCTATCTGTTCTAATTTTGTGTGCTGCAGATGTGACATGCTTCAAGCACTACAAACCTAGCAAGTCCAGACAATGATCTACCAAGTCAAGAGATTTCTATAATTGGTAGGAAAAAAAGTAAAAATGAAAGGATAAAGAGAGAGAAACAAAGCAACAGATATGTAACACTTAAATATATATTAGTTAACATTAGGTACACTATGGTCGTTTTCAGTGTACGTGGGTATTTTGCTATTTAATGTTTGGCCTTTTGTCCACGTATAAGCAACATTTTTCATCTGAGCTCAAAAACTCCTTCCAGGGTGAAGATTTTTTGAAACAGGGGAAAACAAAGATTTTGTCTAAGATTTTGCAACATTACAGGTGTATCCTTTTTGGATATCAGATTGTGCATTGCATCATTGTTTTTAGGGTTCAGACTAGTTAGAGAAGTATCACCACCTATTGCTTAGATAGACTCGGTGGAGGAGTACAAATACCTGGGTGTTCAACTCAATAACAAACTGGACTGGTCCACAAACACAAATGTACTTGACAAAAAGGGTCTAGCAGGTGGAGACGACCACCTGCTACGGCTGCTGAGATCCTTTGGGGTGAACAGGACACTCCTAAGGACATTCTACGACACTGTGGTGGCATCTGCTATTTTCTATGCTGTGGTCTGCTGGAGTGGTGGAATGGCAGAAAGGGACAGGGGGAAACTCAACAAACTGGTCAGGAGGGCCAGCTCTGTCCTGGACTGTCCGCTGAAGTCCATTGAGCAGGTTGGGGAGGAGAGGATGTTGTCTAAGCTAACATCCATCATGGGCAACAACTCCCACCCCCTGCATGAGATTTTATGAGCACTGAGCAGCTCGTTCAGCAGTAGACTTTCACACTCACATTGTAGGAAGGAGCGCTACCACAGGTCATTCTTACCAGCAGCTGTCGGACTCTATAATGCAGCTTAACATTCTTTTGGTCATCTTACTCACCAGTTTGTTTGTTTACTGTACATTTTATACATATCGCCGTACAATTTTTTTCAGTTTTTCTATACATATTCTGTACATTGTTACCTCCAAAAGTTGATTCTGTTCATCTGAACGTTGCGTTTTCAGTGGGAGAAACGATTTGTCACTCATCCAAGTGACGTCTTCAGTCTCAGCTGACTGCAGGTTTCCCCAATCTTATAAACAATACATTTGCATAATGACTGAAACCAGCCCACTGAAGGAACAGTGGGCTGTGAGGTCAGTTCCTTAATCATAATTATGCAAATTCTCAAGACCATTGATCAACAACCACTGATCAAAGACCACTGATCAATGTCCATGAGTACCATTCACAGCATTATAAGAGGGTGAAAGATGTGCTCTTAGGCCCCCTCCTCGATTCAGAGATGGTCTTTCCCTTTTCACGTAAATGGCCTCCTTGACTCCGCGCTCAAACCAGCGTTCCTCCCTGTCCAGGATGTGTACATCCTCATCCTTGAAAGAGTGTCCACTGACCTGTAAGTGTAAATAGACTGCAGAGTCCTGGCCTGACGAGGTAGCTCTTCTGTGTTGTGCCATCCGCTTCGCCAGAGGTTGTTTGGTTTCCCCGATGTATAAATCCTGGCAATCCTCCTGGCACTTAACAGCGTACACTATGTTACTCTGTTTGTGTCGGGGGACCAATCCTTGGGGTGGACCAATTTTTGGCGCAGCGTGTTTTCGGGTTTAAAAGCCACAGAGACCCGGTGTTTAGAAAAAATGCGTCGCAACTGCTCC